CCAGCAAAGCGTCCTGGTGGATACTCTCACCGTCCCCAAGAGGGGTCAAAACTTGTGATAATAGGTTTTTGTATAGCCATCAGGGCCAGGGCTTTTAAACCCCCCCCTTCCCCCGCGGTAGTGACTTAATTACCTCTTCAAGCTCCAGCAAGGTAATTGGCCTATGTAACATCTTGGCCATCCCTGAGGATATGGTGGGGCCCCCAGCTTTGTCCAGGTAGAATACAGAGACAGCGGTTGGCTTCTGTCTGAGGTGGAGCAGTCGGGGTCAAATTTATAAAGGTCGGCGTAGTAGGAGCGGAATGTCGCTGCTATTTTAGAAGTGTGGAGAACCACCTTGTCTGCCTTTTTGCGTACATGTGCAATCATTCTACATCTCTTTAAGGCGTTAGCTAAGAGTTTACTGCATTTATTAGTATTCATAGAGGCGCAAAGACACGTATCGTAGACCTTGTTTAAGCCTTTTATCTAGGAGAGAAGTCAAATCGGACCTAAGCGTATCTAAAGTGTCACTGTCAGAGGAGAGTCCCAAACGTTTGTGACAGTTCCGCCTCCCGATCAGCCTTGAGGAGTTCCGTCAGTTCCCGTTGCCGGGCTGTTTTAAGGTGAGCCCCATGTGAAGGGATGGCTTTCTCATGCATTGGACTAGCAAGAGCTCCTTCTGATAATTCCAGCACCGCCCATTGCTTGGTTGTCGGTGTTCTGGGTGGCTGCGTACCATTGATTGCCATGGTTACATACACCGGCTAGGGGTGTAATCTGGTGATCAGTATCTACATGTTATGCAAGGTACAGAGTGGCTATTTCTTTCTATATAGGCTCTGCTTTTTTATGCCATTCTTGATGCCATATTTACTGAGGGTATATTAATTATTGTTTATTATGTTGTTTATACTGTTTAGCCTATTGTATGGCCAGCTTTCCCTACAGCAATTAGGTTAACCACAGGTGATTCCTGTGCAACTTAGACCCTAGACATCCATTGTTATACGTTTATTTACGAAATCAAGGATTGCCATTAAGATGGTGTATTTCTCATCGATCTTTTCCTTTTTCCATTTCAGGATGACTATGTGCCATGCGCGGACACTACGGAAAAAGTTTGTTTTCGGTTTCCTCATTGGTTTCCTGACCGCATTCTATAGTATCAGCATTTTGCTGAACATTGAGAGCACACCGCAGTCACCCAGGATATGGAAGCCAATGCCAAAACCAGGTATCCTAGTACTTCCTCAGTGACTGTTGCTGCCAGCTGATAACAGTGACCAAATATGAAAAAAGCATAAAGATATATATATATATATATATATATAGCGCTGACACTTTAGGCAGCACTTTACATATTTGCACATTCACATCAGTCC